TCGGCGGACCCCTGGGGGAACCGGTAGGGAAACCGAGGTCCCCAAGCGCAGGGACCAGGCGCCCCTTTCTCTCCCTCGGCAGCTGGAGACACAGCTGTGCTGCGTCCTTGCCCTGAGGGTTCCCCGGGCACCCGGCTCGCGGACGAATTTCCTCAGTTCGGGGGACTTTTACGAGCAGCTGCTCCGGTTCCGTCTGTGGTTCCCAGGGGTCGCCACGCCGCACCCAGGTTGTGAGGGACCCGCCTTCTTTGAGCGAGTCATTCATCCAGTTACAGTCCCGCCAGGCCCTCTGCAATGAGAGCAAACCCAGAGGCCTGCTTTCATGAACTTGATCATCTGCTGAGGGAGCCATTGGTGAAACACCTAACCGTTCAAGTGAAAATGTCCAACGTTGACAAATTTTAATAAGGAAGAGGTCCAGAGTGCTAGGCGTCTAAACAAGGAACCTGCTCCAGACTTGGGGGGCCAAGGAAATGATGCTGGATGCTGGGAGCTGAGCAGGCGTTAACCACACACAGAGGAGAAGGCCATGGCAAGAGAGAGCCTGGCCTGGTGAGAGAACAGCAAGAGCTGTGTGCCAAGGCCCGAGAGTGGAGGACAGTGGAGCAGGTGAGGCCACAGCCATCCACAAGGACCGCGGGCCGTGGGAGAGACTGTGGGCCAGATCCTAAGAGGAATGGGGAGCCACTGACGGATTTTAACCCAAACGGGGACACCTGTGTTTCCAAAAGATGTTGGAAGGAGCCAGAATGTATGTGTCCAGAGGAGATGAGCAGGTGAGCTGGCATGACTGCTGTCTGCTCTCGGACCACATAGCAGACCTCCTGAGAGACAGAAGAGCTTCGCTGCTCATGGTGAATTTCCCACCCCTGAAAGCATTCCAGTACAGTAACAGGGAAAGCACTTGAGCCAGCATCAGCCTTGAGAGATTATTGACCTAATAGGCTTCCCCATCATCCCCTATAAGATGTGGCATAGGGTACAGAGCCGGCCCTAAAATCCAGGATTAAGGGCTCCAGTGAAGGTCCTATGTTGTGCGTGGTGCCCAGGGGAAGAGCCAGTCATGTGCTGTCTGCTGCTTCTGATGAGAAATCAGCTGCATTCCCCCTCTCCCGCCCAAGGCAGAAACCACATACAGAATGGAAATACCAGGCAGTCTTATGAGTATACTGTTCCTGCAGACCCAACACCAGGTGTAGGGACATCTCATTTACGGTTAACAATATGGAGGCATGCTGCTCTCACCCTGTGAACAAGGGGAGGGTGGAAAGGGCTGTGAAGCCAAAGACAGACTCAGCTTCTCCACAGCAATCAGGAATAGATGCCCGGAGCTGGGCCTATCTAACTGAGTGCAGATCACACCTCCTGAGGGGCTTGTTAAAACAGCCCATTCCCAGGCCCATCACCAAGTACTCAGTCAACAAGGCCCTAGGTAGTTAATTCCACCTGTGAGTGACCAAACTTAACACTAATAAGGGCTTGCTGAACAAAATTCTTTGTCACCTGATTGTAAGGTGGAAAGGCTGACCCACAAATAGGAACCTGGGCTCTGTGACCAGCAGCTGCAGCTACACAGCTGTGTCAGCCACAGGTGTGAAAAAGCTAAGGAGTCATCCAGCAACTAGCTTATTTAGCAACATCTTTGATAATGATGGGATATATGCATACATGTGTACCTATATACAAACATACTCAGACATGTATGTAGGTTATAAGAACCCAAAAGTGCACAAATGGGTATCCTTTTAAAAATATATATATATATTATTGATTTCAGAGAGTAAGGGAGAGGGAGAGAGAGATAGAAAAACCAATGATGAGAATCATTGATTGGCTGCCTCCTGCATGCCCCCTACAGGGCACATGCCCTTGACCAGAATCCAACTCAGGTCCCTTCAATCTTCAGGCTATAGCTCTATCCACTGAGCCAAACTGGCTAGGGCGGTATTCTTTGTTTTTAATAATATGAAATTGTTGACCTTATGCTTTCAAAATGTAAAGCAGAAAAAAAATTTTTAATGTGAAGTAGTTTAAAAATGCCAGTATTACTTATATAGAGCCCTGAGGCAAGTCCAGTTACTAAGCAGTTTTTGTCTCTAACTTGTTTCTATGATTCAGATTTTCTTAGAGTACTTACTTCCATGGACAAAAATCAGTTTTTCTACCTTATCTTTTTTTAAACATTTTTATTGAGGTCCAATTCATAAACCATAAAATCCACTAATTTAAAGTTTTTTAATTCAATTAGTGTATTCACAGATTTATTCAACCATCAACACAAATTAAATAAAGAACATTTTCATCACCCCCCAAAAGAAACCCCATATTCATTAGCAATTGCTCTCTTTCATAACAACTGATCTACTTATCTCTGGATTTCCTATTGTGCACATTTAACGTAAGTGGAATCATACAATATGTGGTCTTTTATAATAAACCCTTTCACTTATATAATGTTTTCAAGGTTTACCCATGTTGTGACATGTCAATACTTCATTCCTTTTTAAAAAAAATTGATTAGAGATAGAGAGGAAAGGTGAGAGAGAAAGAGAGAGAGAGAGAGAGAGAGAGAGAGAGAGAGAGACCCGTTTGTTTTTCTACTTATTATGCATTCATTGGTTGATTTTTGTATATGTCCTGACCAGGAATCGAACCATGACCTCCTGGTTCATAGGTTGACACTCAGCCATTGAGCCACCACTGGGCTCTCTTGCCCTTTTATAAATTTATTTATTTTTAAATATAATTTTTGTATTGATTTCAGAGAGTAAGGGAGAGAGAGAGAAACATCAATGATTAGAGAGAATCATTGGCTGCCTCCTTCACGCCCCCTTCTGAGAGGGCTCAAGTCTGCAACCGGGCATGTGCCCTTGGTCAGAATCAAACCTGGGACCCTTTAGTCCGAAGGCTGACACTCTATCCACTCAGCCAAACCGGCTAGGGCTCTCTTGCCCCCGACCCCTCCCTTTTTTAAAAATTGTTTTTATTGATTTTAGAGAGAGGGTAAGGAAGAGAGAGAAATATTAATAAGAGATACATCTATTAGCTGCCTTCTGCACGCTCCCCACCAGGGATCAAGCCTGCAGCCTGGGCGTGTGCCCTGACACTGAATCAAACCAGCAACCTCTTGGTTCAGGGGACAATGCTTAACCAACTAAGCCACAATGGCCAGGGCAGATCTCTTGCCCATTTTTTAAAAAAATAGACTTTATTTTTAGAGCAATTTTATGCAGCAAAATTGAGTGGAAAATATTGAGAGTTTCCATATGTTCTCCCCTACACACACATAGCCACCCCCACTATCAACTTCTCCCACCAGAGTGGTATATTTTGTTACACTGAAACATCATTATCATCCAAAGTCCATAGTTTACATTAGGTTTCACTCTTGGTGTTGTACATTCTGAGTTTTGACAAATGTATAAGGATGTGTATTCACCATTAGAGTAACATACAGAATAGTCTTACTGCCCTGACAATCCTAAGTGTCATTTGAAGAGCAAAAGTTTTTATTTTGATGAAATTCAGTTTCTTTTTTTCTTTTATGAGTTATGCTTTCTGGTCCTATCTAAGAAATCTTTGTCTAACCCAATGACATAAAGATTTCCTGTCTTCTTCTGGAAGTTTTATGGTTTTAGGTTTTTCATTTAGGTCTATGAGTCATTTCAAGAAAATTTTTGTATATGATGCAAGGTAGGGGTTGTCAAGAGCAATAAAGGATATAAAATTTTACCCTACTTGCAAGTTAACAAGTTGCCCTGCCACAATTTCAATGGATGCTGACAAAAGACATAGGACTCCTGAGACAGAAACAAAGAACTTTGTTACAGCACAGCAAGCTGTGTGAGCTTCATGTTTGCATTGCTTCCCCATGTCCCCCAAGTCTCACAGGGGCTATGCCAAAAGACCCAGGTGGATGAAATACAAACAGGTACACAGAGAGGGTTTGTATTGAAGCTTAGCAACTCCAAGCTTAGGGAACATCAATTCTATATAATAAAGAGCTAATATGCAAATGGTCATCACGCCCTCATGCCCTCACACCCTCTCACCCTTGCACCAGGGCCGGGGGACCTGAGACTGGGCTAGGGGACCTGAGGCTGTATTCCACTCAACTGCCCCCCCGCCCCGCCCTGTGGGGCTTGACAGGGGTGGGGCCAGCCAGGTCTGGTTCTCGTGTGATTTCAGGATGCATGCGGGTAGGCGGGGACTTGACTCTGGGTCCCGCGGCGTGCCCCAGACTCTGACAGGAGGAAGATTTTCATATACATTTTACTAATTTTCTTTCATCTCTGCACTTCTATTATAGAGAAAGGACAAATAGCAATATTAAAATATTTCCTCTAATTAGCCCCCTTTTAATGTGCACAAATTTTGTGCACCAGGCCAATAGTCTTTTTTAAAGGACTGCAGGCAAACTTGTGCAACCTTTGCCCCAGAAAAATACATTATTTTTTTTTTTTATCTGAACAGTAAAAACAAAAAATTGTCCTTTGCTCTGAAGGTGGACACTATCTCCAGTCTTTCATGGAAAACATCCTTGAAAAGACAGCCTGGAACAAAAAGAGTTAATGTCTAACTCTTTTTTTTATTGCTTAAAGTATTACAAAGGGTATTACATATGTGTCCATTTCCCCCCGCCCCCCGCCCTTGACAGTCCCCTAGCCTCCCCTATCCCCCAGTGTCTTATGTCCATTGGTTATGCTTATATGCATGCATAAGTCCTTTGCTGTTGATCTCTTACCCATCCCTGCAACCCTCCCTGGCCTTCCCACTGTAGTTTGACAGTCTGTTGGATGCAGCTCTTATTCTGTATCTATTTTTGTTCATCAGTTTATAATGGTCTTTATTATCCATAAATGAGTGAGATCATGTGG